CACACAATGCATATATATATAAATATGTATATATAATATACAAAAATTCTGTGCGTCTCCTGGGGGCTAAGCCCCCCTTGTCCTTGAAACCTAGTGACACCCCTGATCAAAGGCCTCATGGTTTATGCTTTGAGGGCACAGAGTTTTAGCCAATTAGATCAAACTTTGTAACTTATATTATGTGCAATCTTACACTYACTAGAGTATGCACTGAAGAAGACACTCAGCTATGACCACCAAGACTATGTCCAAAATCAGAGGCTGCATCCTCTRTAGRTTGAATTTGATCACATAGCGATGCRCCGAAGGCTGTCCAAACTCTACTTCTTCAATTGAGGCCCACAAATGAGTCCTTCATTCCCCCCCGACTGGAGGGACGGATCCAGTGGCTCCTTGTCAGGCTGTCTCAATTCGAATTTTGCATTCGTTGGCCCTTACTTCACCGCTAGGAGCAGAAGGCGGTCCCAATTCGTAGGGCTCTTTCTCAAAATCCTGAAAATGAAGGCTGCGTCTGAGTGTCCTTCCTGGCCAAGGGTATCCCAGGACTCATTGCACTGTCAGCAAACTAAACAGAAAAAAAATTATGCAGACGGAACACATACAACTAAATGGAATGCATAGGCCGTGGCCTACATGGGCAGCRGTCTTGGGAGGCTGCAACCCCTGGATTGAAACACAGCCTCGGCCTATCCTAAGCAGAGGTGTCAAATAAGTACAAGTACTTTACTTTACTTAAGTAGAAATTTTGGTTACTGTATTTATCCATGTATAATACGATCTCAAGTATAATACGATCATCATTTTTTAGCTTAAAAAGCATTAAAAATGTAATTATCAATAACCTGTGTGTAGTACATTTTAATTTAATATTATACTCAGTATTGACTTTAGAAGAAAAATGGAACCCATAATGGCTTTTTATTAGTTCATTACTTTTACTTTTATACTTTAAGTAGTTTTAAAACCAGTACTTTCATACTTTTACTTGAGTAAAAAGCTTAAGTTGAAACTTCTACTTCCAAAAAAGTATTTTTAAACYCTAGTATCTATACTTCTACTTACGTAATGGCTGTGAAGACGTTTGACGCCTCTGATCCTAAGCATTGCGGGCCAACTGGGAGATTTGTTTTGTTTGTACCAGCGGACAAAGCGAGAGGCAGGAGTACAGTTTTAAATAAAAATCTGCCCGTTTAAAAATTGAAAGTTTTAAGTGGATGTTTTGTTGGGCTTTTCTCATTTGCATAGATGTGTTTTTATTATTCTTGCCAGAAATAAACAAGCTCATGTGGTGAAATAAATGAGCTCATACGGCGAGTCCTTCAGTTCTATTGCCTCTAAGCTCATTTGGTTAATTCATAATACTATTAATATTTTGCTCGTTTCAATCTTTTGATGATTGTCGTTGCTTCTGTTTAGTATTGTTGTACTTGCTAGGCAGCAGGACAAACGTCAGGGTTAGGGCAGGAATAAAGCTGAAGGCTGGACTGTCCAAATTCAGCCACTTTCTTCCWGTCTTCRCTGTCGACAAAGGATCCGGTCCACATGGACCGGTCAATGCAGGCCGAGTCCTTCAAAGGACGCAGCCCCTGAATTTGGACACAGCCCAATTTTTAGCTCAGTATTTGTAAATTAAAATGAATTATAGTCACTTTAGTGTTTTTATACACCATCCTAACAACTTCATTTATATTCAAATAGCAGAATCTCATCTACTTTCTACTGTGGACACTTTCCCAGTCATACAGCAGGTAAAATAAGTATTGAACACGTCACCATTTTTCTCAGTAAATATATTACTAGAGCTGCTGATGACATGAAATTTTCACCAGATGT